ACGAGCGGCGTTGACGGCTCGAGTTCATCACCAAAAACTTAAAATATGAATAATATTTTTTTTGGCGGGGGTGCCACCAAAAATTTATGCCACCTCATGTCGCCTTCCCCAAACTTTTCAAAACCGAAAGCAATTTGTCATTGGGACTTTTGACAGCACCGTCGTCGTCGTCGCTGTCATTAAGCCCGCAGAGGAAACCTCCGGAGGAAAATAAATCCTCAAACAGCAGAGAAGAGCAGGAAGCCGGCATTCGTGGGCCATAATACTTCACTTCAAAGTGAGGCATAAAACTCGACGAACTATTGGGGAATTTCGAGTTTTGGCTAACCTTCGAATTTGGCATAAAATCCGAGTATCTGGGTATATATGCAAATGCAATGGGGGCTATATTCCGTGGGCCAACAATAAAATCGAGCAAAAGCGAGGAAGCCAATAAATCTGTGCCGCCAAAGCGGCTCGTAAAAATGGACAAGTTTATGTTAGAGGTTAAGGAGGAGGAAGGGGTTGAGGCTGGCTGCAAAGGGGTTAAGCAGAGCAGCTGCCATTTATTCCAAACCGCATAGCATAGCGAGAAGCTTAGCTCTCTTTTAGCCATTTCTACCTGTCGCCTGGCTGGCTGACTGCCTACAGTTTGACATCCACTGACAAGACATTTTATGCACTTTTCTTTTTATTACCCACAGGAATTTTTCAGCGAGAGCTAAGAGCTTGTAATATGACATCACAAGGGACAGGACACACAGGACCTTCGGCTATGTCCTCACTTGCAAAATGGAAATGTTTGCTTACGCCTCACTGAACAATTGTTGGGTGGTTCGGAAATCGGAGGGAGAAGCCTGGGAAAAACGTTTTATGTGCGAATAATAAGTAACAATCATTTGTGGATTCTATCAGCAGTGTTTGCACAAGTCCCTTTGTCCTTTGTCCTTTTCCTGATTTGTATTACTTTGTGACACAGTTTCCTTGGCTTTTATATAAGCAGGTGCCTTCCCTACTCGTATTACTACATGTTTGTCTTACTTTCAGTGTAAAAAACTTTTGCTCTATTAAATGAGACGGAGGAAAATACGAGTTTTTATTTGACAGCTCGTTTAATTTCCCAGGCCGTGGCATCTGTTAAACATTTAACGTCCGGAAGACAAGCCAAAAGTTCAAAAGTGCAAAGTTCATAGCCTGGGTTCTCAGCCCGTCGCTGTATAATAAGTCTTAATAAGCCGAGGGCGTTCGATGTGCGGGTTAATTAAAAATTATTACCAAAGAGATTAACCGAAAAATGGGTGCTGGCGGTATAATTATTGCTTGATATTGTTTTCCCGCTCTATTATTGGATTCCCTCCCCGATTTTCCTGTTTATCCTCATTGATTCTGATCTGTGGGACAAGTGTGGATGTAACGCTTAGATTTCCCAACATTGCCCTCTTCTATTTGCTCTCCAGTTTCACATATTTCTCCCAAGTTCATTGACTGTTCGGTCTTAATATCCAAGATGTTTGCTTTACTTGTATAAATGGGAAACATGTGCTTGGAAAAATTGGCTCAGGAACATCAAAACATTAAACATAAAAACAGATAATACAGAATTGAAATAAATTGAGTTTAAACAAAACATGAGTAGATCTTTCAGCAGTATTTAATGTATATTTAATTAGTAAAAGAAAAATTCTTATCGTAAAAAAGTAATGTTATGAAATGTGATAAGAGTAAAATAAAGTTTTGAAATTTCGAAATTCCAGACTTTGCCTCGCTTCTTACTTAAATATTGCCTACAGAATAGCATCATATATGAGAAGGAAGCTGCTCTAGATTTCGCTTTCTTCAAATGTCGGCCTTCAGCCACGTGCCCTTTATCAGCCTTCAGTTCGAATTCATTTCAATTTTTATATATTTTTTCCTTCTGCTTCCCATTTGTTTCTGTGCTCATTTGGTTTGACCGCAATGGGAATCTGGGGTGTGGGCATATAAAATAATAGGAATTATGTTGATTAGAGAGTTGGACGCGGCAATCAACACCAGTGACCACCCACATGCCTTTTGTTCCTCCAACTTCTTCGGCATATACCACAGAAATACTTCCATATCTGCTCTATTCAGCTAAATTCTTTTTTTGCACAACTAGAAGGAGAAAAAGGAAGCCAAAACAAGAGCATGCTCAGCATTCTTATAATTATAACATGCTCAGCATCCATATCAATATAGTAAAGTTGATGTCGACCCGGGCGCAAATTCCATTAGAACACACTGTGCTGGTAAGGGGGCTCCTCAGGGGTCTTCAGGGGGCAGGGGACAGGGGGAGTGTGCCCAAGTCTAAGGCCCAGCACGCACTCAGAGCCCATTTCCTCTGCAAGTTTATTCGATTAACAACAATCAGGCCAGGCCAAACCAGAGCAGGGCAAAGTCGATTGGAGTTGAGGGAAAAGGCAAAACTGTCGGAGAAATCACTGCACAAAAATGATATCTAGCTTAGAAAATTATAATCAATATTAACAGCTTGATGAATATAAAAAAATATATTACTAATCTACATTTTAGAATATTTTTCTTGATTTCTTTGTCTCAATTTCCCACGACCTAACTATCTATCTTAGAAATCATCAAAATATTTATAATTATATTTTATGTTCTCTTATTTATTATTTGTTTTTAAAAATATCTTGAAAGGAACAGAATTTTGTAATTTTGTAATCTAGATGTAACATTTTTATTTTTGACTTATTCTGTTAAATATCTCCTATTTACAATTCTTTATAAACAGCTATGTCTATGAAACATTACTTTTTGATTACGGCATCTATGCTAAGTGACTTAAAATTCTCGCAGTGTAAAGTAAACGTCTTAAATTATGATTTTCTGTTTTCATTATAGGTGGCAATTATTTTTCCCCCAGTGCAGGCATTTGCCAAATGAGCAAAGGAAGCTGGCATGGCAGGAGCGGAACAGAGACGTAGATAAGGGACGAAAAAGGGGGCTGGGGATGGGGATGGGCTGCTGCTGGTGTGGAGGTAGAAAAGCCATTTACACTTGCCCGTAATTGTAAATTATGTGCAACTTAGTGGAGAGAATACTCCCAGTTCGCTGGCACTTTGTGCCGGGTCCTCGATGTTGACATCAAACTAAGTGACAGGGTTCCTTCCAAGGGTGAGCTTTAGTGGGTTAAGAGGAGCTCTATGTGTGTGTGTGTGTGTGTGTTGGTGTGTGTGGATAACTGCCAGCCTCACATGCAAATTCAATTAGCACACAGAGGCGCACACACAACTTGCAGTCAGTGTAAGTCGGGGAATTGAATTAGAAAATGCGCCAAAAAACAATCAAAAAGAAACCAAAATTGAAGTCTCGTCTCAAGTTGCAGAGTCGATCAAGGGAGGCTCTTTGTCTCCCAACGAAACCACAATTAAGGTTAATGACATTGATAAATTGAAAATGCTGGTTATCGAGGTTTCTGGGTTGCGCCAAAACCCAAAACCGATCAAATTCAATTATATACACATATTTTGCCAGCACTCGCGGTCTGTCTTCATCTGAGTGACACATTTTAGTTCTATTCGTGTATTTATTTCCCTGGATTGGACTGCCATTGCCAAGTCTTTTGGGCTTGGTCAGAATCATTCAGCTCAGCAAAGTTCCAGTCTGACTGGCTTTCAGTTCTATGGTCAGTTTTTGGTTTGTGTGGGTGTTTCGAAAAGTATCTTGGCATTAGCATGAACACAAATGCGAATTGCTTGTTATTTAGATAAGCTACGCATATAGGGTGATCATTTAATTATTTATTTATTTTATTTAAATATTATTGGGTACTTAGTATTAAAGAAATATCTGTTGGCGAATAAATAAAAATTTATATTTTGTAGGTTTTAATCTAAATATTTTTTAAAATTTACGCAAATTAAAATCTGCACCCTGTTTTGCAAATTGGTTTTTTTCCCTTTTATGCAAATCACGAGATGGGCGTACATTGGTCACTTTATGTGTACTAAGTATAGAGTCAACGGGAACTGGAACTTAAGCTGAAGCCAAAGCTTAAACCGAATGCCATATCTATTCAAATATATCGCTTTACTCCATTCTGGATGCCATTTGGTCGCTGTTATTATGGAAATTCAAATAATACCGAGTGCATTCAGTGTGAGCACAGTAAAAAAGGCGATTTCTAGCTAATTTTGTTGCTTGACGATATTAAATGACTGGCGCAGTCGGAAGGGGGTTTTTAAAAAGGGGGAAGGGAGAAAGGGTGGCACATTCTACTCTCCGAAGAGATAAATGAAATGCAAAGTTTACTTGTTGACTTTGCGGTGGTTTGAGGTTGAGGTTTGCTTCTCAGCAGATTTAAATGCCAAATGTATACAACTTACTGCAAGGGCGGCTAGTAGAAGGAGGTGAAAGTGGGTGGGTGGTAGGGTTTGGATAGCTGAATGCTGGATGAAAGTGGGCGCCTAAGCTCTCAATGTGGCTTTCGTCTATTTTTAGCCGGCGAGCTTTCCTCCTTTTTCGCCCATTTTTGTTTGTTTGTCGCTTACCAAGTTTTTTGGCAGCTTAAGAGCCCGGCAACTGCATCATCGTGGCGAAGGCTTAGCGAAGTATCTCTTGACGAATTGAGATACTTAGCCGAGGGATTACTTTAGCTGTAATTAGCTACAGCAAGAGATGCTTAGATGCTTCACATTCCTCAGGGATATATTTTATTTTATTTCTTTAAAAAAAGTGTCATTTGGTTACCCAAGTTGGTTGGGAGTAAAGTAAAGTAATTAGCTTCATTTAATCTAATTAAATAAAAGTTCTATATGAATACCTAATAGATTTTTAGAGAGCCGATTGCCCATGAATATGCAATAAACATTTTGCAACGATTTTGTTTATTATGGTATTTAATTTTTATTTCAATAAAGATTGAGAAGTTCAGGTAACGTTAGCTTATTGAGAAGCGCATAGAAAGGCTCTCAGATTAGTAATAGATTTTGGTAGCCTCATATGTTCATTTATTTTTGCAATAACCCCTTCAGACTCACCGTATTCCGTGGACATGGCGCACATGGGCTGGTGGTGGTGCGGATGCGGATGCGGGTGGTGCGGATGCTGCGGACAGATGCCCTCGTGCGGATGCGGTGCGATGTAGTATTCCGGCGGATAGAACTCGCCCGGATACTGGATGTACAGCTGGCCCGGCGGCAGTGGAGCAATTCCATTCGTTCCGTTAGTCAGGCCATTTCCCACCTGACCACCACCGGAGCCGCCACTGCCGCTGGAAAGGCTGCTCACGCTGCTGGCAGAGGAGCCACCACCGCCGCCGCCGTTGGGCGAAACGCCTCCCCCCGAGCCACCACCCCCCGAGACACCGTTCTCATGGGGTGGCGGCATGTTCGGGGGCGCCGGCGGCAAGGGGGCGTGGTGGAGGGCGTGCGGGGGCGGCGGCAGGTGGTGGTGGTGCTGCATGGCCGCCATCAGGGCCAGCTGCTGTTGTGGGTGGTGCAGGGCGCAGACGGGCGGCACAATCTGGGCGCCCTGGGGCGGTGTGGCGGTCTGCTGCAGTAGAGGTGGAGATGCCGGCAGCGAGCAATTCGATGAACCGCCGTCCGAGGGCGAATGTTGCTGTTGCTGTGGGGCATGTTGCTGCTGCTGCAACTGCTGTTGCTGCTGCGGTTGCTGCTGCTGCTGAACCACCAAGTGCTGCTGCTGCTGCGGCAACATCACCATGGTGCAGGCGGGCGAGGCCGGATTGCTATTCAAACTGGTCGTTGAAGAGGTCGTCGAGGAGCAACTGCCACCCGCATTATTATTGCTAATTATTGTTCCGTTGGCGTTGCTTATGCTGCTGTTGCTTATGTTGCCGTTGTTGCTGTTGCTGCTGCTGTGTTGCTCTGCAACATTCAGTCGCACCATGGTATTCCGTATTCCGCTTTCAAACTCTGTCGTCTGCCACGTTTCGCTTTTTGCCTAGGCTATTGCTTTCAGCATTTTTCAGTTTAATTATTACGCGTTTCTTTGTCTATCTGCAAGAGAACACAGTGTTTGTCTTAAATTAATAGTTGCACGTAGGCTGCGGAGGAGGGCCTCTTGCCTTTTGGTTACCAATCCAAAAACGTTATCATTTCTTTGCGGCGATAAGAGCTGGGAGCAAAACAACCCACCCACCCACTGGCCCTCACCCAAGGTTATCGCGGGAATTTTCTGGGAATTCTACGCGTCTGTTTTCGAAGAATTTCTATCGGGAAAAGTTTATTAGAAATGCTTAAGAGTCTATTTAGGGCCAGACAAAGCTGATAGACTAGTTTTATAAAATCACAGATTTCTTAAGAACTTATATTTATTATTTAATAAAATGAAATTCAATAAGGATTGAGTTCAGGTCAGGTCAGCTAATTGAGAAGCGCAGAGAACGGTTCATAGAGTACTGATACACTTCGGTAACTCGTTTTGAAATTTTGAAATATAATTTAAATCATTTCCATTTTTCAAATGAAATGAAAATTTCTTTGAGCCAGAAAAATAGACCACACGCAATGTCAACACATGTTACGTGGCTTTTATGCCCATAAAACCAAATATTTATAGATCAAAGATCAATGACGAAAGACTTCCGTTCCACATAGAATTTACAGGAACATAAACGACAGCATGAAAGACGCTAAACAAAGTGAACATTTTCAATGAAATCTAGTGCGAAAATAAATCAAATTGGAATTATCTCTCCAAACCGTTGACAGCATCGCAGGCCCACGACAATTGTTGTTTTTTAGTGCTGCCTTCTGCCCAGCCAAACAATTGCGAATTGTAAGCAGAATTGCGCATTGTGTCAATTTGACAAATAATTGAAATATTTTCACAAAAGGCACAAACTAAGCGACAAAGAGTGTGGGAAACGGGGGAAATCAAGAGGTGGGGTGTGGGTGGTGTGGCCGGGGAAACACCACCCACATGCATTCATACAAAAAATAGAGAATTGCGACGGAGATAAGAGTGAAAACTAGCTAATAAGAACAACAACAACAACAGCGGTAAAAACAGTACAGCAGCGGGCACTTAAATGAAACCCCGCAAATAGCAAATAACAAACAAAAAAGTGAGGGCAAAACACGAAAAAGAAAGACGAAACTGCAGAACAAAACAACAACGGCAAAATTAAAACGTAAGCGTGTCTTAATCGTTCGATTTGGCATTCCCCAGCTCTTTTTTAGGCACTGATAAAAATATGTAAAAAAATGTTGACATTACAAAAAAAAAGAAATGGTTTAAAAATCCATAAAGATATGAAAATGTTTCAAGGTAACCAAGGTAGTTATATATTAAAACATATCTTTAAGATGGGTTTACATTTTAGGATAAAACAGTATCCCTCATCAGAGTGAGAATCGCCGGGAAAGGCGCTTTTGTTTGAAAAATTGAGGGAGCTTTTAGAACTTGATTTTAGTGTCCTAAGTATTTTTTATTTCCGAAATAAGTTCCCTTTTGTTTTTGTTCAGTGGCCACACTCTCCTCCTCCCTTTTACTTGTCTGAGGGTTCGATCCCACTCGTTTTTTCTCTGTCTGTAAAGAAATTTGATGCCTGCGCTTTGTTGTTGGGTGTTTTCATTTAGCTGTTAATGCAGCTTTACTTTAATGGGTTTCTTTTTTGGCCCTTTCGCTCGTTACGTCTGTCCGCATTTATCGCACCTTCCACCAACAACTGGCCCGAACACTTTTTTTTTGACAAAGGTGTTGGGTGTTGCATTTCTGGGGAGTGAAAAAAAGAGGGGGTCAGTGAACCCCGTTAGCCGGCAAAAATCATTTCCATTTCGGGGAGCATTGACTTTCGGAGCGAATCATTATGGAAAAGAATGTGAAAAGTGAAAGAAAGGCATTCCGTAAAAAATTCCCCGATTGAAGAAACAATGACGAATGAAATTAAAGTGGGTGGAGGTAAAAGAGTACTTTAAAAAGGCATTGTTTTAATTTTTCGGCCTTTAAGAAATTTATTAATTATCTAAGAGCTTTACAATTTCCAATTCAAAACCCATAATAAGAGTAATAAATTCTTACTTAATTAATTCAAGAAAGTGCTCGTTCTGTGATTAATTGTCTTGAAAATTCATACAGAACGTAGAAAAGTTTTAATGGCCAATGATTTACAATCTCGAAACTATGTTTCCCACAACCACCGCTGTTTTCCCTTCTCCTTACATTTCTTGGTAACTGCTTAAAGATACTTGTGGAAACCACTCCTACTGAAGATGGCAATCTGAATAGAGTTACCAAGTTTTGCAGACCCCCTTACCAACTTGCCAGACATTATCATGAACTAGATGTGGAACAATCTGTTTGTGCTTAGGAATTTCCATTGCAAATGCTTTGCGTGGGTTGCATTCTAATTGATTTAGTGCGTCTGCAGCGGCAGCAATTACCACCAAACAGTTGGTGTTGCTATTGCTGCAGTTGTTGTTGTTGCATAATGCTGTGGGCCAAGAAGAAGTGGCATAAGAACCTGGCCAAGAAGTTGAAAACGGCGTGTGGGAATAGGAGGGAGAGGCAGGGGCAGAGGCGCTGCAGTCACAACAACAGAGTGAATGAAGTGCGACTGTTGTCACCTGTCTCAATATGCACTCTCGTACCTGTCTCAAGTACTCCCGGAGACCGAGGTCTCTCTATCTCCCTCTCTTTCCCATACCGAAGACCCGAAGACCCTCACCTGCCCGCAGTTCACACCTTTACACACACACTCACCCAGCTACACGGGCACAAATAATATGTCAAATGTTAATTCAATTGGTAATGGTTAGACTAACATTTAAAATAACATGTTTTCCATAAGTCAAGATTTTCATCGCTTCGTTTGATTTTCTAGAAATGCTTTCTTGTGGAAATAGAAACAGAAAACCTAAAAATAAATGTTTACCGCCTAATATTAAAATTTAATAAAACTATTGTATGTATAATTTATTTTAATATTTCAAGAAATATTTTGAAATTTTAAAATATTTAATTCGAACATTTTTCAGAACTTTATGACTCTCTCATGTAATTTTCTTTATTATTATTTAATCAAACGAATTATATTGTATACCATAGTATAATTAAATAAACCAAGAAGTAATAAGCTAAAGAAATTTATACATGTTTTGTCTAAAATGAAAGTGATTTTATTTCAATTAAAAATCGATCGTTAAATATTTTAAAAAATAATTGTAATATAAAACATATATTTTCCCACATTTCCGGATTTTTCGGAGTGTGGCAGACAATGAGACACGCACCTCCAGCGCTGACGTCGCCAGGTGAGCTCTGAGCTCAGGTGAGAGGGCGGGACAGACTGAACTGAGACGGAGGACACCACGCGGAAATCTACGCAGCTTAGCAATCTGCTTCTTTCTGTTTCTGTTTTTGTTTTTCTTTGGGTTTTCTTCTTTTTTTCGCTATATTAAATGGCAGACAGATGAAGAGGAGACATTTGTAGACTTTTTTTCTTAACACCCGCCGCATTTGTGTCAAAAGTGTCTAGACCGGCTTCAGGTGGTTACGGAGTGAAAACTTGCCCCCGGGTTTTTATTTTGTCAGTAGGTGGTAGGTGGTCGGTGGGCTGATGGGTGGGCGTGTCGGGGCCACTCAACGGCAACGCATTTGCGACACGTTGAGCGTCTTGATGAGGCCATTTGTTGGAGTATCGGAGGAGCACCTGTCCCCCCAAGACATCTTCATACTCATCCGCCCTCTCCACATGGCGCATCCGAGGTGTCAACGGAATCTGAACGTGTCTTCAGATCCGCCGCTGCGAAGGTGTCAAATGTCTAATGAATTATTGAGCAGCCATCAGGCGAGTGTGCTGCGGCCAAATGGCAGAAAGTCGTGATGTGGCCGACGAGTCACTCAAAAGGATTGCAGAATGTTCAAGGAAATGGGGAAAACATTTGACTTTATTTTGGGAAATTTAAAAAAATTATTTCAATAAATTAACTTTATTTTGGAAAATTTTGAAGAATTATTTGTTACTGCATTTTATTAAATATAGTAAATTTAGTGTGTATCGCTTACTAAAGAGATATACAATTATTTAACCTACGTACCTATACAAAACACTGTACCACAAACTACAAACAATTATAGTTTCCTTAGAAAAAACTAGCTAAATGCATTTAAATAAATGCAATAATAAATAAATCAATTGAATTTAAAACCTACTAACGATGAATAAGACTCGTTTTGTGAAAATAGAATTACAATAATTGATTCACACAATGTTGCAGCCACACATAAATTGGGGCCAAAGACCATTAAGTTTAACCAAATCGAAGAAGCCATTAATGAAAAGGCCCCCACCTTAACTTGACTTTCTTTCCCCTGCCATGAATAACAATTACCTTTAATGAGCATAGAGGCTGTTCCAAGTTCAGAATTACCTTAAAGAGTAAATGAAATTAGCATTTCTCGTGCTCACAAATTGCAGATTGAGTTAGTGAAGGTGCTAAATATTTTAGGGCTTTTCTTTTCGGGGCCAAGTCAACACTTTCCCACTCACAGAAGCCCAAAAGCCGAAAGACAAAGCAATTCTTCTCCCACTAACCGATTCTTCTTGGCTTTTCTTCAGCTTAACAAATGGCTTACTTACTTTGTGTGCAAATAGCAAATAGCAATGGAGCAGAGGCAATTTTTCTAACGGTAATTTCTAACATTTACCTAGTTACCGTTAATAGACAAGTTGGCCAAGTTGGCGAGAGCCAAGAGCCAAGACATGGAAAAATGTCTAGAAAACTGCAGTCAATGGCGGCCATTTCACAGCTTTCTTTCTTTCTTTGTGCACTCAAGTGCGTCGTGTCTGGAAAATTCTCTAGGGAGGAGGGGGTAAAGAAAAGGGGGGCGAAATGTGGAAAATGCCTTTGGTGCGTTCTATGTCGTGGCACATTTTTGCCTGACCAAGCTCAATGACTGGTTATCGGTTCCGTTTAGAATGGTTTCTGGTTCAAAAAATCACCATTCAGGCCAGCCAGCCAGCAACCGGCAAAATGCCACCTGCAACATGCAA